GTATGAGTAAAATAAATTCCTCCTGAACGTATTTTTGCCTAAAACTTAAGACATTAAATACACTTTAAATATCTATAATATTCCTCGACTGTTTAATACTAGTAGTAGGTTCAATAAATGCGAAGCTGCTTTTTTTTTTTTTTTTTTTAGATCAGTTAAACTTCTCAATCATTAACTGGCCGAGAACATGCAACAACATGAATCATGAACGTACGGTTTCTCACAGTTTCAGTGATCCTTGCGGTAGCCAAGTTAGGTGCGACATATGTGTTTGGTCAAACATACATGTTCAACCACCTATAACCATATATGGTTGGCATTAAATCCCCATATATGATTCGAAGATTCCCCAATTACCCAATTTTGGGTTACCGATTCAGCAGGTCACCAATCCCCTTCTCTTGTGCATGTAAGCTGTTCGTCATTTTTGCGTCGACAAAGTTTATGTACGTCCTATTCATCATTGAAACTTGAAAGATGAGATTTGTATTTTTCAACTTGTCCTAAAAGCAAAGGACATTATTCATTTCCGCATATTAGAAAAATTATTCTACATTAATACCCGAGACATGGATGGTTCATTAATTTTTTTATTTTATTTTTGAAATTAAAAACAATAAAAATTTATCTAAATTATAAATATAGTACAATTTTAGATGTAAGAATACGGCATTGCTTGTGTTGACTAGCAGCCGACCACATCAGAAATGATGAATCAGAGAGACAATAACGTTTGTGTAATTCTACGATCCTCTCGCTCGCTCGCTTTCTTTCTCGACCGTCCAAAGAAAAACCTGCTTCACAGCTTTTTAAGGTAAAAAAAGTGGGTTTGTGTCTTTATTTCAGTTTCTCTCTTTATTACTTCCTTCTCTTATAATAATATCTGCCCATGTTTTCTTTATCTGTTCCTTTTTCTTTTTTTAAGTTAACCAAAGATATTTTTTTTATCACGAGTTAATAATAAAGACTAATTATTTAAAATATTGAAATTTATTTAAGAGACTAATTTAGTAATTATGTGATATATATCTTGATTCTTTGTCTGTTCTTTTGTCTTCTTTGTGATCAAGTGGTACGTGGAGAAAAGTGTGCAATGCGTAGAGAAAATTTTGGATTGGTCGGAAACTTTCTCTTGCGGCATTAATGCCTTAATTATTGTGTGCGTCTCTCTCTATATATTTATTTATTGCAACTCTGAAACGAATAAAGGTTGCTATCCAGCTTTCACATACAAAAAAAAGTGAATTACCTTTGTCCTTTGTTTTTTGTCGCTAATGTAGAAGCAAAAGTTTTGCTTGGTGTTATGGGGTTGGGTAAGGCAACTACCCAATGTTTTAAGAACTTCAAATTATTAATGTATACTACTATCATCATAGCTTGATCAGAGTTTGATAACAGTCCATTAGAACTTTAACATATGTGTAAAATCCAAAACCTAAGCTTTTGGAGTCAATACACCTTTTTACGGATTTGAATTTGTGTCTCAATTATTATTATTATTTTTTTTCTATTTTCGAGTGCGTTTGTGGAAAGTCAGAAATGGGGTAATTCATCCGCGGGAAAGCTTGATTCTTTGCTTTTCAATTATTTCGAATGTCGTCTTATAATTTTTTTTCAAACAATGACATTGCAGGTATTACTTTTCATTAAAATAAAATAGTTTATTTTACTAAAATCGTTGACAGACTCTCACTATATATGCACTAACAAGAAAGTTTCAACAATATAATACTTTTGAGCTCTAACTTAATTTGCAATGAGATCCAAAGTCCAAAATAAAAGGCTTATTGCGGCTAAGATATTCGGTATTAATTCTCGCAATTTATATGATTTAACAAGTGTGTTTGATGTCTTCAATTGACATAATACAATGCCCCACTACACATCATCGAGAAAAATTCAACAATATTTACTTTTAAATTCTAACTCAATTTGCATAGATCCAAAGTCCGAAATGAAAGACTTCTAGCGGTTTATATAAGATTAACCCACCCCCTAAGTTGAAACCAACTCAAAATAGATCAAACACCTAACTAGAATTGTCAAAGGTTTCCACGAATACAAAGTGCACCTAATACGCACTAAAACGTGCTCTCTGTGGATAAGATGACATCATTAGTACAAAAGTCAGATTATACAAAGAAAGAAGGGTACATGTATAATTAAGTGAACGAGTGTTGTTTAGTGGGAAACTGTTGAATTACTTCAGACAAATCTGCAAGCTAGTATGGGCACATTGGAGCTCCTCCGTGGTCAATGAATCCCACTATAGTAATTGGAAGTTTAATGAGATCTATGTCACATGGGTGTATAAATCGCCACTCAACAAAAACTCGCCAAACAACTAAATAAGATGCATAGGTGGTGTATATAAATATATAGAGATCCATTCATGTCTATTTCTAAGATATGACGATGATTGAAAGTGCCCTATATTCAAATATCAAAGTTTTACTCTAATTTTCAATCCACCACAAACGAGTGACTGTTCCAGAAAAAAACACAAACTTTCGGCGGGGTTAGATCATGAAATTGAAATTGGTTTCAGGAACGACTCTTGTCGTAATCCTGCAGTGATGAGAAAAGCCACGTTATTAAGTTCGATCAGTCCAATAATTAGTTTAATGATGTGATTGACCGATAAACTTGTTTTGATTAGTTAAAGATTGCGTGGAACTAAAATTGTAGTTTTAGCCAAAGTGCACCTGTTACCTACACTCTGTAGCACCAATCCTTTCCTTATCATATATCATATATCATATATTAGGATATGCACCAAACAAAAATGATGTACAACGAGCAGAAGTCAAAATTATTATTTGGACAACGAACTCGGTCACTACTAGGGATGTTACCCAAGATTTATTATTTATTTCTTTTTTCTTTTTTTACTATGACAGAAATATTTATATAGTTTATTGAAAATTAGTTTTATTCAAAACTTTCATTACATTAAAATTATCTCTTTTAATATTATTTATTTTATTAAATTTAAGATTTTGAAGTTTGATAATCAATCGCAATAGCAACATACATCAGTACAATCTCATCAATTTAACTGTAACTATGGGTTAAATTTACGTTCCTTGTAGTCCAAGAATTTGTCGTAAGCAATTAAACATTAAAAACGCATATTTAATTACATATTTATTAAACTATGCCCATTTTATGTTGACAAAGTTATGGGTTCATTCCAACTCTAATTTAAAGATAAGCAATATGGTAAAGGGTAAACTTTTTATGAAGTGAAAACACAAGGATTTGTATAGCGAAATTACTTAACTACTTCATCTGTTTCTGAAAAATGTTACTTTAATAGTTTTAATTTATTATAAATTATTTGTCACTTTAAAATTTATTAATTACAATTTTCATTTTATCTTCTTTTTCTTTAAATAATTATACTCATAGGATAATTTATATAATAATTTGTACAAGTATCATTTGTATACATCAAATAATTATTAAAATTTTAATTTATCTTTTCATTTATTTTTATTTTTGGGTCCACACACAATCCGATTTTCCAAGTATAAATTATTAGATTCAGGCCTTAATAAGCCCACCCAACTAGCGAGTTGATATGGGCCTTAGGGGTTTGGGGAGTTTGACTAGGTTCCTTAACACTTTAAATACAGTGGGGCCTGAGCTTGGGGCCTTGGGCTTATTTCTACAGCTCCTTCTTAAACTTATATGAGTTTTTTTTTTCATTCTCTCTTTTCTCATACTCTCCCTACAATTTTTAATATATATATATATATAAAGACAAACAAAAAGGAACACATTCTATTATGTAAGACATAAATGATATTAGTTAACAAAAAAGAAACAAGTTGAGAGAAGTTATTCGTCTAAACTCGAAGAGATTAATTGCATCTAACACTATGTTTTGTCAACACAAATTAACTTCTTTAAAGATAGCAATTTAGTTTAAAGTACAATATTGAGTCATCTTTATAACCAAGTAATATGAATAAAAAATATTATCATTATACATATATATATATATATAAATTTTATTTACTTTTAACCTCTCTGGATCATCAAAATCCTTTTTGTCTAAAAAAAATAAACTAATATATTTTTTTCTTAAATTTTTATCTCACAAATGTTAATTTTAAAACTATTTAAGGAGGTCCTTAACACTAGAGGTAAAATTCTTCTAAAAGAGATCTACTAACTCTTATTTAATCAAGTAAAGTTTTGGATTAAACGATATATTATTGTATTTTGACTAATTACAAAAATGAATAATGGTGTTTGTTTGAAAATTTTCATCATATCATTGGTTTCGTGTCCAGTAATCACGGGAGTGTCATTTCATATATACCATTTTGTAAATGTGTATCATCAATTTAAGTGTGTATTTGAATTCAATTATTTTTAGAGACAACTTTAATAATCAACTATATATATATTGTTAGTTTATTTTAATACAATAATTAATTAAATTAATAATAATTTAAAAGAATTAAATTATCATTTCTTTATAAATTATTATTTATAATAAATTTTTTTACCTCTATAATAATTATATTGAAAATAACTTTTAATTAATTAATGATATAAATATGTTTCCACTAATAATAAAAGAATTAAATTCAAAATTTTAATCATAAAATGTAAATTGTTACTTTTTTTTTTATGTACAAAAAAAATCCTTTTCATTGTAATAAAAATAATTTTAAGATTATGATCTTAAAGGATATTACTGTCAATTCAAACAACTTTTTTTCGAAAGTATCGGTCCTTTTACAATATTTTTTTTGTTGTTACAATATTTTTTTTTAAAGAATCTATTGATCCTCGTTCAGTATATTTTTACTTGTGAAGTAAATATTAACTATTATTTTCCTCAAAATTGAATATTATTTATATTCTTAAGACATTAAATATACACAGTATATGTAGCCATGAAACAGTAACACGTTTGGTTTACCGTTACGAATTCCAATATCGTTTTTTTGGATTAGGAAGGAAACTCAACACATTGTGTACACAATTTTATACCAAATCAAATTAAAATGGGAAACGAAATAGTAGAATCAATCAATAAATATCTCAAATAGCTCTTCAATTTTTGGGTCGTGATCGATTAGGGTTCGTGCTTGTTATTGCCGCCTCAGTGATAACAATCGCGCCAACTCTTGAACGATCCAATTCATCTTCACCTTCTCCTCGCTCACACTCAGATCCTTCCAATTACGCTTTCTCACTTTGACTGCCGCCACCAAACTAGCATGTTCTTCAGTGCTTTCCTTACAGGTTCCAATTTTGTTGCATTTTCTTGCTACACACTGCGCATATTCCATAATTAGTAACGGATCACGCGTTTCCTTCGTTAAGGAGGAATTTTTTATTGCTTTCTGGAACCATGGAGACTTGGGGTCTTTGATGGGAATATATGCCTTTGGAATTTTATTTTTCTCTTTTTCGTTTTGTCATTTTCAGAGTATGAATCGTTGAATTTTCTATGCTTGTTTATTTATTTTATTTTTAATTTTGGGGTACACAGAAAAGAAAGGGGGTACACAGAAAAGAAAGGAGTATAGAACAGATGGGGTAGTGGGGGATTCAATTTCCAAGCAATTTGCAATGTAGGATGGATTTGGCTTTGTTGAATGCTTTGAGTGATGGAATTTTCTCAATGAATTTTTATACATGTTTGCCTTTTTAATTATCTTACGGAGGTTATGATCTATTGTCTCCACTTAGAGTTCTCCCCACTCTCCATTCTCAACTTAAAGCTTTCCATTTCGTAGCTTCAAGGATGCTACACTTGCTGGTTTTCATTCCTTCACTTGTTATTGACTTCTGCTTTTGATTCTTTCCATTATCCCCTTTAAGTGCTAGTTTTAACTACTTAACTTCCCTGGCTCACTTAGTGCTTACAGTAACGTACAGAATAAAAAATAAAGCTTCTTAACTTCCTGCCCCTTCAGTTAATTTGTGTGTCTCTTTTAGGCCCATAAACTATAATTGTTTTTGGGCTTGTGTGCATGGCACTGATGATGGTGATTCCAGCATGACTTGCTAGTTGCTACAAATGAAAGGCAATAGACACAACAATTTTATTACCTTCTATGGGATATATATAAGCAAATCAAGTTCCCTGTAATGCTTAGTATCCACTTTAGGATAGTCAATGTAGGACTGTTTATATTTATTCATTTATTTATTATTTAAAGCTTTAAGTATATTGATATCCTTCAAGAAGAATGTAGTAATACATAAATGTATATATACTGGCTGATCAAAAACCCATTGATTTCTCTTATGATTTCATAATTTGTTTCCTTTTTTTTTTTTTTTTCCTATCACAGCATTACTCTTTGTATATCTACGTCTACAAATTGCCTTAGATTTATCACTTGTAAATTTTCAGAAAAAGGAAAATATTATAATTGTAAAATTTGAATTGGCCACCAATTCAGCAAGGAGACCAGTTTGCTGGGTAACTGATTTGAGTTTCAGGCAGATAATTGGCCCAAAATAATATGAATTTGAAACTGAAGCTTAAACCACTCCACAAAGTGAGTAGTGGAGGGCACTTATTTTCTGTATCGAATTTTGAATGATTTCATGGTTATGAAGGAATTGACATATAGCATACTAGTATAAAGTTAAATGTTAAATGCATGTCAACTTATACATCTTTTGTCTATCGAAGAATATAAAAGAAACTGTTTGCTTATCTGTGTTCTAATTGACATAACATTTGGTTTGCAGATATTTGATGCTTGGACGCGTAGGGAAAGCTGCTCAATCTATTCTTAGAACTCACAGAAGCAAATATTTTGAAGCAAGTACAAATGAGGCTTTTACCTCAGTGGGACCGAATATCAAGCAATGCAGGATGTACTTGCAATATAAGTTTCCTAGTGCAGGACGTAATTCATTCTTGTGGCACTGGACAAGAGGAAACTTTCACAAAGGCTGTTCTTTTAGGAACTTCTCTGTAATTTCAGTACGTAATGTTGCAGCATATAATTCTCGAATAGCTTTGAAGTTTCTGTATAAAAAATACTCTTCCAATGATCATAAGAGATTTACCTCCATAAATATGATTGCTCAAGCAATGAGCCTGGCTTTGGCTCGTTCGTATTTGCTGGTTCCTGGTTTTTTGACATTTGCATGTGGAAAGCTAGCATTGGCTCAACAAAATGGGGCAGAGACAGAATTTTACCCATCACAGAATGCTTTGTATATGCATGCACAAGATGGGTACGGTTACATGTTTGCATTTGTATTCATTGTAGTAGAAGGCTTTATCTTGTTAGCAAGAGCTATCTACCTGGCCATATTATTCTCTCCAAGCATGCTGATGGCACCACTTGTAGATTATTTTGGACCAGAATTCAGAAAAATGTGGTTACGGGTTGTTCATCGCACACTAGAAAAAGCAGGTCCAGCGTTCATAAAATGGGGTCAGTGGGCTGCTACCCGGCCTGATCTGTTTCCTCAAGATCTATGTACCAAGCTTTCTGAACTTCATACCAAAGCACCTCAGCATAGTTTTAGCTACACAAAGAAAACTATAGAGAGAGCATTTGGTCGAAAGATTTCTGAAATTTTTGAGAATTTTGAAGAACTGCCTGTTGCATCTGGAAGTATTGCCCAAGTGCATCGTGCTTCTTTAAAATATCGTTACCCTGGTCAGCAAGCAAAGCCCCTGGTGGTTGCAGTAAAGGTTAGGCATCCTGGTGTGGGAGAATCTATCAGAAGGGATTTTGCTATTATCAATTTGGTGGCAAAATCATCAAAGTTCATCCATGCACTTAATTGGTTAAGGTTGGATGAAAGTGTTCAGCAGTTTGCAGTTTTTATGATGTCTCAAGTTGACCTTGCTAGGGAAGCTGCTCATTTGAGCCGCTTCATTTACAATTTCCGTCAATGGAGGGACGTCTCTTTTCCTAAACCTGTCTATCCACTTGTGCATCCTGCAGTTTTGGTGGAAACTTATGAAAATGGTGAAAGTGTCTCACATTATGTTGATGAGCTTCAAGGACATGAAAGGATTAAAAGTGCTCTTGCTCATATTGGTACTAATGCACTTTTGAAGATGCTTCTGGTAACATATCTTTCATTTACAATTTCTTATTATGGTGTTTATATATCTTGTGTTTGATGCTAGACTCATTTTAAGGCTTATTTTTAGCATTGGTTTGTTATGTGTCATGAAAGAATCAGGATTGATTACTGATATTTCCTGAAATGTGAGTATGTGTGAGAGATTAGGAGACCAAAGACTTAGTGGGTGCAGCAAATATTCATTTTCATTTTTTTTTTGCTTTAACCAAGTGTGTTTATCAAACTAAAATATTTTTGTAATGTTAACCAAAGTTTGGGTTGAGTTTAACTGTGGTTAATGAGCCTAAAATCGTAGCTAAATTGATCAAAATTAACATTTTTCACTGTAACTCAGACATCAGGGATTTAGTATATGTTTGGATGCCAGTTTAAAATTACATTCAACAGAAAATTGTGTTCCAATGCAAAAAGAAAGCACTTATGGGTGTAGTTTAGTTTTTTTTTTTTTTATCAACCCCAGTTGAGTTCAACTCAACTATTCTCAAACACACCCTAAAGTGATACAAATAGTTTTGAGAGGATAACCTGAGAAAATGTTAAGTTATGAGGAATAAAGTGTAATTTAACCTTAATATGTTTACATCCTAAATTTTAGTATGAATGTGAAGAAGCCTTGGCTCTTTCAGTAGTTTTGAAGTTTTACTTTACCTTCTAAAACATGAGATGTCTTTTTTCAGGTGGACAACTTCATTCATGCAGACATGCATCCCGGAAATATCCTAGTACGGAGCAAGCCTCAGAGACGGCTCTTCAAATCAAAGCCGCATGTAATTTTCCTTGACGTAGGCATGACTGCTGAACTCTCTGGTAGTGATAGGGTAAATTTAGTCGAATTTTTCAAAGCTGTTGCCCGCCGAGATGGTCGGAGGGCTGCAGAGTGCACACTCAAGTTATCAAAGCAACAGAACTGTCCAAATCCAGAGGCATTTATTGAGGTAATTGTTTTAACTTGCAACTTTCTTTTTTGGTAAGAACTATTTGATTATTGATTTCTGTTGAGCATTACACTAGGATACAAAAATAATTTGTCATGTTGAAGACACACTCACACACTTTCAATTTATTTGTTTTGTTGAATTCAGAAGACTGGTTTGTTTTGCGGTATCTATTCATGGTTGATTGACATATGCAACAACATTTCATTTTATGACAATTTTGCGGTGCAGACTTTTGATAGACTGCTTGATTTACCATAGATATATGTATTTTGTTTTTCTTATTTAAGTTCATTCACAGAAATTCTTGGTCATGATTCTGTGCCATTTTTGACATTTGGTTTGCTCTTTGTTTTCTAACAGGAATTGGAAGATTCATTCACTTTTTGGGGCACTCCAGAAGGTGACCTGGTCCATCCTGCCGAGTGCATGGAGCAATTGCTCGAGAAAGTTAGGCGTCATAAAGTTAACATTGATGGCAATGTTTGTACTGTCTTGGTGACCACCTTGGTTCTTGAGGTGTGGTATACCACTGTAGAAGTTTTTGGAAAACACCGATGAGAACTGAAAGCATAACAGTTTTTTAGACGCAAGTTTAGGAGTATTTTTTGAGTTTCTCTACCGAAAAAAAAATCTTTATTTTTAATAGAGAAACTTTTAAAGGCACTTCTAGTTTTTATTCAATCAGACTCTAAATTATATTTAGAACATTTCCTTTTCTAATAGCTGATGTGATTTGCATGATATTTTAATATGGTTAAATATGTGATTTTGTAGGGTTGGCAGCGCAAGCTTGATCCTGGGTATGATGTGATGAATACGCTGCAGACATTGCTGCTTAGAGCTGACTGGGCAAAGTCTCTTTCGTACACAATTGATGGGCTCATGGCCCCTTGAAGAGGAGGTTTCTTTGTTTGTTTAGACTTAAAATTTTTTTGACCAAAACCTGAAACAGGATACGTACTAACGGGCACTCTCAAATTTGCCCATTATTTTTTCATTGTCTTTTTGGGAAGCTTATTCCATGTATTTTTGTTGAATTCCAGCAGTTATTACTGTGTGCCTGAGCATCACAGTTTACGAGAAAAGCTTAATAAAGCGGTCAAATTTTGTTCCCATTATACTGTTGTACTCGCAGAAGCTTGATAATATTTTGGAACACTCTTGATAATATATGGTTTACTGACACATACCAAGGTAGTCGCAATTAATAACCCTTGTGACGACACTTGCTGGTAGGATAAAGTATATAAAAAATGTGAGGATCTTCAAAGGGCTTAGAGCATTTCCATCTCAGCAAAAAAAAAATTAATAACTTTTACACACTATACATGGCTCAGATTATTTCCTACTTCACTTAATACTTTACTTTTTTGAAGTTAAGTAATTCATTCCAATCCGGTAGCTTTAAAAATCTTATTACGGAAAATGATAAACCTTACGAATTTAATCGCCCAAAAGATATTATAGTGATTTCTGTCAAATTCTTTAATTTTATTTACTTTTTAACTCAAGTTTATCCAATAAAAAATAGAAAAGTCAAATTTGTGAATTCTTACAAAATAATTTCAATAGCAATACTGTTTTGCTAAACAAGTGTCATAAAAAAAATCCCTACATTCATACATTTTTTTTTTACATAAACGTTTGTTTTATATTATTTGAATTTTTTTTTAAATGGTGCATATTTAAGCACCTTGTACTTAAAAGGTGTTAAATAAGCATCAACTCTGGTGTTTAACAAGAAAAGGTTGATAACCTCCCGTTCGGACACCTCAAATTCTTATTTAGCTTTTCTTGTTAAGCACTAGTATTTAAGATTTTTCCATTGGGGAATTGTTGTCCCACTATATGTATTTATATGAAATAAAGATATAATGTAATGATATGGGATTATTTGTGGGATTCATTCATTCAATAAAAGTTTGAGTTACTGATTGGAGAGATGAATTGTTTAAATTATAAAAAGTATTTGAGCAATAAGTAATTGTGAGACCATTTAAGAACATTGATAAAAAGAAAATAGCATTGATAAAAAAAAGTGAAAAAAATGGAGTGCTGGAGTACTGATGGCCTTATAATTCTAAGGGGCAGAGTGTTGATCTTGTATTTTCGTAAAGAATAAAAAATTTAAAAATGTCTATATATCGTAATTGCTAAACACTCATTTTACTCTTTAAATTTGGATTGTTATTAGTTTCTGAAACTAAAAAATCGCCAGAGAAATTCCTGAAAATGTAAATTCACGGTTAAAACTAAAATAATGTGTGACTAAAATATATATATATATATATA